TCAGTTTAAAGCATAGCCATGAGTTTCATCAAATTCATTCCTTTCCTTACATTCAAAAGCACCTGCTAAAAGAAACATGCAGCTGTGCCTGAGAAGGGTTTGGAAAAAGCTGAAGCAACTCGAAAAAAATGATACAATTATTCATATTAGCACAGTTTCCTATTTCTGTGAAATGTGGCTTCTTTGCAGTTTACTCATTACCCATACAGCCTGATTCCTTGAACTGTTTGATATTTCTTTGAAGGTCTATGAGGTTTTTTTCTTCTTCTACTTAATTACACATTCACTGCAGTATTCCAAACCTTAGAGCAATGAACTGAGTGTTGGCACAAAATCTTGCTCCTACACTATTTTTCTCCATTCTCCTCTGCCTTCAGACAGGAACGTGCGCTACCGGGGCTGCTTCAAAAAACCTGACAACTCAACAGCAGCTTCCCTGGCTCATGCCATCCAGCCCAATCTCACCTCCCAGTGGTGCATCCAGAACTGCATGGATCAGGTCTGACTTTCCTGACTGCATCAACACTAGATTCATGTGGATTGGATATGGTCTGCTGTAGTCCTGATATATTTTCCCACTCTTCTGAACACAATCTGCTTGTTTAAACTTTAATGTGTCCCCAGAGAGCACAAATTTGCTCTGTAATCAATCTTCTACGCAGCATTATCGCTTTGATTGTGGTATAATTTGAGCCCTTTCTATCAGATGGTCATGCTTTGTTGCACTCTGGCAACATGGTCGATTGATTCATCCTCGTTTTTAGCTGAGAAGCTAATTGCACTGCTTGAGAATGTTTTTAGATAATGATAACTCAAAATAGGTGTAATCTGAAGTATGAATTGAGACGTAGAGGTGGGCTCTTGGTGTCATTCATACACATATTTACTCTCTCTTATCAGGAGTTTCCTCTGGCCCTGGTCAGGAAGCCCGACTGTTTCTGTGGCTACGCCACTCCTCGCTTCACTCTTCACGAGCCGGTGAAAGAGGAGCTCTGTGCTGTGGAAAACAGCAGTCTGCCTACCCAGGGTTCCCGTCAGCTCTTCCTCCAGGTTTATCAGACACCTGTTCAAGGTAAGACTCTGTGGAAGCCTCACTGATCTTAATAATTACCTCTGTGCTCACATTTCCCCACACGGGCAGTTTATCTTTCTCACATAGAGCTCAGCCTCGAGATGTATGCTAGAATTAAACAGGGTGCCTGCTCATTCAATTCCAAGATTTTTCTTTGGGAAGTTATGAAAGAATGTAAAAGTGAATAATACCGTTTTCTTAAACTTTAAGAAAAAGCTAAACTTTCCAACAACACATAATAGCCTAAGGGTACCCGCATATCTATAAAGTACTCATATATCTGAGACTGCTTGAAAAATAATAAGCATGACTGAAAGTAAATATCTTCAACAGCTTGTGTCTTTGTGGGTGGATTTGGTAGCTAACTAGTTAGGATTTCTACTGAGGGTTTTTGTCATATAATTTGTGAGGGAAATGAATAAATGAGTGAATAAATACATTACAGTAAATACAGAAATATTGTGAAATATTATTAGTTTAAAATAACTTGTAATAGATTTTTAAATGTAATTTATTCATGAGATGGCAAAGATACATTTTTAGTCTTCAATATTACATGATCCTTCAGAAATCATTCTAATATGCTGATTCGGTGCTCAAGAAATATGCCTTATTATTATAAATATTGAAAACAGTTTTGATGCTTAATATTTTTGTGTTTTATAAATAAATATATACAGCACATATTACATTTTTCAGGATTCTTTGATAAATATGAAGTACAAAACAGCATCTATTCAAAATACAAATCTTTTTGTAACATTGTAAATGTCTTTACTGTCCTTTTTGATCAATAAATGCATCCTTGCTGAATATAAGTATTAATTTCTTTCTTTCCAAAAAAATGCTACTGACTTCAAACTTTTAAACAGTAGTATATGTATTGTAATTGAAGGAACAATTACCCCGTTTAATCTTAATACATATAAACAGTCATAATTTAATGAACCAAATTTATCAAATGTTTTCTCTCTCAAATACCACCTGCCATCAACTAGCATGGTTTTATGCTAATTGGTTTTATCAAGCTGTCATTCCCCCGACTTCCTGTTGCAATAGGAGATATGTTAACACAAGAAAGAAAATTGTTAACAATTGTTGTTAAAAATAAACTTCAGCCATTCTCACCTAACACTGGGATGCTCCGAAAGGCTATGCAGAATGTAGGTGCTACACACAACCAAAAATCAATCAGTCAATCAATGAATAAAAAAAACAGCACTTTTACAAAAAAAAAAAAAAAAAAATTTTTT